TTTGGCCAACTGTTCTCTGTTGCAACCTATTTTGCCTTGTAGAGTTGGTTTTGAAGTATGGTCGGACTTTGGATTCTTCTTTCCTTCTGTCTGTACCAATGAAGAACTCTCTCCATTCTCTTTCAGATCTCGCTGGTACTGAGTATACCTACACTGAATTTTTCTCTTTTGTAATCTAGAAATTACAGGGACCATATCTGGTTCCTTTATTTTTGGGTGCTTAAGCAACACCCAATTGTTTGAAGCCAGCAAAGGAGGCTTAACCATCCTGCCTTGGTTTCCAATTACATCTCTTTGGGTAAACACTTCCCTAGGTTTATTCTGAATCACAAACCAATCTGGGACCCCAGGTACCCACGAACCTACTGACCTTGCCGTTGAACTGCTTCTTTCCTCTTTCGAAGTCATCTTCGAAGCTAGCTGCGAAGGCCACTGCTTGGTCCTAACTTCATGCTTTGGGCATAACTCAGGCCTTCGATAAAGGTGTTCACTTTCTGTCCTACGTGAGGTTGGTCTAAGGGGCCAATCTCTGGCTTTGATCTCATAAACTGAACCTCTCTCCAATCTCCTCTCAAAATGACTGCTCTCTATTCTGTAATAATTAGCTGGCCTGGATTCATGTAAAGGCCTCTTGCCTTTGGAATACATCCTATCAGCTGTTGGTTCAACCCTCAATGGCTGCTGCCTGACACTAGATGGATATGGCCTTTTATTGTAAGCATTGGTTGGTTTAGGACGTCTCTGCACATCCTTGTAGTATTGCTTCCCATCAATCGAAAGTCCTTTCAACCACTTGTAGCTTAGTTTGCACCTAGGACACATCCTCTACATTACAACTGCTTCTAAGGAATCGTCATCCAGTGCTTCTTCCTCAGAGTCTTCCCTCTGGTGTGAGAAACCTTGTCCAATAACTGGTAGATTTCCAATGTCTTTCTTGACAGCTGTCTGGTTGGCCACATGCATCTGCACATTGACTTCTTCCAATTCTTTCAAAGACAAGTTCTGAAAATCCGGCATAATGACATTGGCTGCCACCTCTCCAATTTCTGGAAATGGATTACTGTCGATCCCCATGGCCTTTTCAGCTTTGGCTGGGAATTTCAAACTTCCTTTCCGAATTTGTTCTTGGATCCTGTCTCGAAAAACAACACAATTTTTAGTCGAGTGAAACCAAGAATTATGCCATTTACAATATACTTTTCCTTTAAGTTCATCAAGAGATGGAATTTTAACCCCTTTTGGTAACTTAAGGAAGTTGGCTGCGAGCAAATGATAAAAAATGTCATCTGCCTTAGTTAAATCGAAAGATTATTTCCTGTGAAGGTCTTTCTTTTTAAACTGCTGGTCAATTGTTGTATCCTTATAAATTAATGCTTCACAGATCACAGGTTCTTTCCCCACAATCTCTGCTGCATCAATCTTATAGTTAGGATCTTTGTAGTATGTCTTGTATGATGCATTATTTCGATCTTGTTCCTCTTCTAGTAATGCTTCATACCTAGATACCTTATAAGTCAGTTCCACTAAGTCCCTGAACTCTGTTGAGTCAAACTTCTTTCGAAGCCTAAACTCTAAACCATTTTGAGCCAATCTTACGAATTCTGGCTCTGACAAGATGACTCTACATTTATTTCGAGCCCTTTTAAATCTGGCAATAAACTGAGTAGCCTTCTCTTCAGGCCTTTGACTCAATCTTGCCATGTCTGCTATGGAAACCTCTGGTTCTGATTGGAAGAATTGGGCATGAAATGCCTCTTCCATTTGTTGCCAAGTTTGGATTGAGCCAGGTGTAAGGTTAATGTACCATACAAATGCTCCTCCAGTTAGAGAATTTGGGAACAGTCTTAACTTTATATGGTCATTATTAGTAAATTCACCACATTGAGCAGCAAACCTAGCAATATGCTCTACTGTTGATTGGTTTCCACTCCCATAGAAAAGGGCGAAATCTGGTATCCTAAAACCTCTTGGGTATTCATGTACCCTATCTATCCATTCTGGATATGGTTTTCTGTATACAGGAGTCTAGACCCCTCGAGCCATCAGTCCATATATCTCCCTAACGATGTCAGCAATTTGGTCCCTAGGGACCACATTTTGTGTTTGTTGAACCACTGCTGGAGGAATAAACACAGGATTTGGTAGACAAACTTGTGCTTGTGGTCCTTTTGGTCCATAAGATGGTATGTTTGAATTGGTTGTCCCTGTGGTGCAGGTTGCTGTTGGGGGTGTGGGTAGCCCCTTTGAGTTTGTCTTACGAAAGGTGCTGGAACTGGTGTTGTGTCTTTTCCATTTGTAGGAAAACCTTCCAACCCCCCTGGTATAAATTCGAATAAGAGATTAGTGAACCCCCTTGTGCCAGGTATGGCTTCGAACATGGGATTTGAAACCATTCTTACGCCATTTTCTTGTATTGGGCCAGTTCCACCAAATTGCATGGCTTCACTGTTAAGTACTAAGACATTTTGACCTAATACAGGCCTTGGAACAGGTTCGTACCAAGACTGAGGTGATAGTCTTTCATAGTTCTGATTACTAGTTTGACCATTAGAATGTCCATTAACTTGCATAGGCTGTTTATCTCTAGCCAATCTTTGCTGAGGGAAAACTAAAGTTAGGCTTGCAGTTAGGCTTCCCTCCTAAATTTGACTAGAATGTCCACGTTGCCTCAAGATTAGCTCCATTACGCCATCACTTGCAGTTAGGCTTCCCTCCTAAATTTGAATTCAAATGTGAGTAACCGATGATGCCACATCACTTTGTATCTCTCTGCTGATCCACTGCTACTCAGATCTCGTAACAACCAATACTAACTGCCACGTGTACGATCAGGATCGAAGATTTGAATAGTCTTCCCGTACTACCCTTACTTTGCCACGCGTCGAATTGTAATTGGCTTGTACAAAATATGTAGCCAACAAATATATTTTATCCTGAATTTTGAATTTTGTTCAAAATAGAGACAATCAAAGATGTTTTTTTTACAAATAATCCATTTCAAAGGTAAAATACTCATACAACTTATTTTGTGTAAGTTAACTTGTATGTTGTTTGAAAGGCGAATTACACTAACGGTCCCTATAGTTTAGACTTTATGTCACTTTGATCCCTAAAATTTTAATTATGATACATTTGACCCTAAATTTTGAATCTTGTTCCAAATAAGGACAATTAAAGATACCATTGCTCAATTTTAAAGGTAAATTCGTCAATTTGATAAAAATATAAACTAATTTGACAAAAATAAATGTCAAAAAAATATTTTTGAATTTTTAAAAATTATTTCTATTCACTAAAGATAAAATTATGTAAAATTAATAAATATTTTAGACATTTATTTTTTTTTATCAAATTAATTTTTATTATATGTTTGGATGATGATTATGTAATGGGTAGTTGTTTTTATTTTCATTAAATTAGTTTCTATTTTTTTAAAAGTCAAATATGGCGACAATTTTGATATCATTATTAAACCAATCCATTAAATCAAAAAATCCAAAACTAAAAACATTTCACATATTAAATATATCGATTATACATTAAAAGCCTAACAATCACCCATTACATGATCATCATCTAAATACATAATAAAAATTACTTTGGTAAAAAAAATAAATGTCTAAAAGATTTATCAATTTTATATAATTTTATCTTTGGTAGGTAGAAATTATTTTTAAAAATTTTAAAATATTTTTTTGACATTTATTTTTGCTAAATTAGTTTATATTTTATCAAATTGACGACTTTGCCTTTAAAATTGAGCAATGGTATCTTTAATTGTCCTTATTTGAAATAAGATTCAAAATTCATTATCAAATGTGTCATAATTTGTGTTACATGGACTCGGCACTTTGGGGTGAGGTACCTGTATTGACACGACACGACACGGGTGCGAGTGTGTGATTTGTGTTGGATACGCATGTTCTCTCTTGGACACGGCTCTTTACAGACAGCAAAAGAAATGAAAGAGGGATAGAAAGAGAGAACCTGGTCGCTTGTCGAAACGGCGAAGACATTGGTCACTGCTTCGACATGCTCGATGCTCGATCTCTATCTCCTGCTATGTCTTCTCTCTCTTCTCTCGATCTCCTTCTCTGTTTTCTCTCTCGTCTCTCGATCTGTCGATCTCTCTTCCTCTCCTCTCATCTCTTGATCTCGATCTCCTTCTACTCTATCTCTCGGTTGCGGACTTCTTTCTTCTCTTCTCTCTTCTCTCGATCTCCTTCTATTTTCTTCTCTCTATTCTCTCTGTTTTATTTTCTTCTCTTCTTCTTTATATTATATTAGTATATAATATAAATTTCATTAATATAATAATATATAATATTATTCATATCATATAACTCATCTTCATATAATAAATATATATTTTTTTAAAAAAAATTATTTAACGTATCCTCGTACCCATATCCAAATTTGGATACATATCTACGTATCCTTAATTTTTAATTTTGAAATGTCCGACCCTTAGATATGCACCCGCACCTGATACCCGTATCCAAATCCGTGTAACATAGGTCACAATTGAAAAGTCAGAGACCAAAATGGCAGGTTATCCAAAGTTAGTGTAATTTGCCTTTTTATTTATTTATGGCTTTTTGAATTTTTAAAAGTTAAAAAGTTAATGTATTTGAGAAGTTGCTATAAAAAGTCACTTTTTATAAGTGAAAAAATTGACGTGACAATTAACCTTTTAGCTTATAAACAACTTCGTCACTTTTGTGACTTTTTTTTTTGGCAAAAAACTAGTTTTGTTTGCTAATACCCACAGTCCCTAAACTGATAAAGAAAAATAAATCTAGCATATATTAGAAATAGAGGGCCAGATAATTTGTAGAACCTGAACGAACAACTTGAACATAATAATCAAGTTGAAAAAAAACTAAAAAAATGTGATAAAAATACATAAACTAAAGAACACAAACAAGTAATTTACATTGTTTTAAAAAAATGCATATACTCTGATAAGTTCAATGAATAACAAGAAATATGTAATCAAATCAGTTCAATGGGAAACTAAATTCATTTTGGTAGCTTTCTTGCATTTGCAGAGAGAGTCTTTGCAGAACATCACAAATTGATTCAATACAAGGATGTAACTTGTCAGCTGCTACAAATGAGTGCATGCAACTTCCAATTTCAACCCAACTCAATCCCAAAATCTTCTGAACTCCTCTATCATCCATCACTTCCCTAACTTCTATAGCTTCACTCCTTCTACCAATATCTGCATACAAGTTAGAGAGTAGCACATAGTTTGAAGAGTTCCACGGTTCATCAACATAAAGACGCTTCGCAACATGCCTAGCCATTTCCAGATTCCGATGTAATTTGCAAGCTCCTAACATTGAATTCAACATTACAACATCAGGCTTAAAGGGTAAGGCTTTCATCAGAGCCTCGGCTTCTTGTAGTAGACCAGCTCGTGCTAACAAATCAAGCATACATGTATAGTGCTCTGCTTCGGGTTTGATCATATATCTATGAATCATGTCATTAAAGTAATCATATCCCTCTTTAACCAAACCACTATGCCTACATGCATTAAGCACACCAACAAATGTTATGTGACACTATTTGGGGCAATGACGGGTGATTTTGATAGCAACAACTCATCATATAGCTTCAATGCCTTCATAGCTTCACCATTTTGGGCAAATCCACATATAATTCCATTCCAAGAAGCAATATCTCTCTCGGGCATGGTCTGAAATACCCTGAATGCGTTGTCCATCTCACCACATTTTGAATACGTATTCACCATTGCACTTGCCACAACTACATTAGCCTCTAAACCAATTTTTAAAACAAGGCCATGAAATTGTTTTCCCTTTTGAAATGCACTAGAATTGGCACAAGCCCCAAACAAAGCACCAAAAGTGAAAGAATTTGGTTCAACATTAGCTACCCGCATTTTGTGAAATAACCAGAACGCCTTGCTCACACACCCACAATGTGAGAGTCCAGAAATAATTGATGTCCAAGAAACAACATCTGGGTTAGGCATCTCCTCAAACAACAACATTGCTGAGGCAATAAAACCGCACTTAGAATACAAATTTAATAAAGAATTACTAATAAAGCGATCCAAGCAAATCCCACATCGTAAAATCAATGAATGCACTTGCATTGCCCCAAAGACTAGAGAGCGAGAAGCAAATTCATTCAAAACAATAGCATAAGTATAGCCATCAGAAATAACTCCTTCAATACCCATCTGACGAAACAACTCTACTCCCACATGACCAATTCCACACTTGGAATAACAAAAAATTAAAGCATTCCATGTAACTAAATCTCTCCTTGGCATTTCATCAAACACCTTCTTCGCTGAATCCATCTCCCCAGGTCCCGAATACATCCTAAGAAGATTGGTCCCAAGAAATTCATCCGATAAATTGAAAACCTTGACAACCTCTGCATGAACTTGTTTCCCAAATTCAAAATCACAACAAGGCAATACAATCGAATAAGTATAATTATCCGGCTTAATCGAACAACGACGCATTTTTATGAAATGGGTCAAAGCTTGTTGCAATCTTTGGTGTTCTCCTTTGTTGCTGGCGCATGGCAAGCCTCATGGCTGCCAACTCAAGCCTCATGGCTTGCCAACTCATGCCAACCTCTTTTGCCTTCCTTTTACCATGTGGGTTGGCCACCCTTCCATGTGGCTGCCAATTCAATTTGGGTTGATCTCCTACATTAACTCCTTCAATACCCATCTGACGAAACAACTCTACTCCCACATGACCCATTCCACACTTGGAATAGCAAAAAATTAAAGCATTCCATGTAACTAAATCTCTCATTCGCATTTCATCAAACACCTTCTTCGCTGAATCCATCTCCCCAAGTCCCGAATACATCCTAAGAAGATTGGTCCCAAGAAATTCATCCGATAAATTGAAAACCTTGACAACCTCTGCATGAACTTGTTTCCCAGATTCAAAATCACAACAAGGCAATACAATCGAATAAGTATAATTATCCGGCTTAATCGAAAAACGACGCATTTTTATGAAATGGGTCAAAGCTTGTTGCAATCTTTGGTGCTGAGCAAAACCAGAGATGACTATATTCCATGATTGACAATTCTTTTGGGGTATAGAATCAAAAAAATTTAATGCTTGGGAAAGTAACAAGCTAGATTTGAAGAACCCAGATAGAATGGTGTTGTAAGAGACAAGATTGGGGTGAGGTAGGAGGTGAAGAAGCTTGTGAGCTTCAATGAAGCTTTGAGATTTGATGTAGGATCGAAGGAGGAGATTGGATTGGTAGACATTATTATTGTAGAGAAGGCCATTTTTTATGAGGGATGCATGAAAGCATTGTGGGTTGTACTTGTACATGTGAAGTGAAGGATAGTTTGTTTTTGAATTCGATTAGTCTGATCGTTGGTGGAGGTTGGCGTCGTGTGCTTGTTTTTGATTCATAGTTTTAGCCACATGCATTGTATAACTTAAAAAAAATTGTCATAAGTCGGCAGAGGTTGGTTGAGTCGGTAAGAATCAGATTTTTGGCTGGGCACCTAAACATTTTTATATAAAAAAATAAAAATTAAAAAGAAAAAATGTTATAATATCATGCCTTCTAAATAGGGCCATAAACGGGCCGACCAAAGCACCAAGGATTCTCTAGAGTGTTTTTTTCTTAAAGTTTTCTAAAGTAGTGTATTGTGTGGTTGAGATTTAATGCTGAAAAATTGATGTGACTTGTCATTAAATCTCAACCATACAATGCACCACTCTAGGAAATTTTAGGAAAAAAAAACTCTAGAGGATCCTTGCTCCGACCAAAGTCGAGTTTTAGTATGTTTAGACTTGTTTATAAAGATTTTAAGGAGTTTGAGTTCGAGCTTGAGCTCGTGCTCGAACTGAATAAAAATTTAACGAACCGAGCTCGAATTGAGTTGGCTTAGGCTCGACTCGAGCTCGAACCTGTTCATGAGCCTTAACGAGCCAACAAATTTATGAATTCATATTTGCATGTGAAACTAAAGTTACAATTAAAAGTTTGATCATACAATTATATATAAAATATATATAAACATACTAAAAAAAAATTCATATTTTACTAAAATAATAATATCTACTACCACTATTATATAAATGTACTATCTATAATTAACTATTATTTACATTTATATTTTTAAAATATATAAATAACATATTCATCTTATTTTTTATACATATTTTTACGTTATTTAATATATAAATAACAAATATTAAACAAGCTAGCTAACGAGTCGAGCTTACGAGCCGAACTTTAAAATGGTTGCGCTTGTTTATTAAAAATTTAACGAGTTCGAGCTCGAACGAGCTCGAACTCTTATCAAGTCGAGCTCGAGTTTATTCACGAACGATTCTGTTCATTTGTAACTCTATTTGTTAGTAAGATAATTTACCATAACTAAAAATATATACATATATATATATATATATATAATCAATCACCACATGAGGGTATAATTAAAGATCTCATGAATCATAATTAAAATATTAAAATTTTTCAAAAGGTGTGTATAGTAGAATTTTTCATAATTTTATAGTTTTCTCTATTAGTATTTTTTTAATTGGTTTTTTTAAACATTTTAATTATTTTTTTTACTTTTTATATTCACTTAATTTAGATGCAATTAAAAAGTATAAAATTTATGTATTTTTAAAAAAATTCATTGAATATAAAAAAATACAAAAAATCAATACAATTTCGTTGTAACGACCTCACCACGTATAATATTTTATATTTAATTAATTCTTAATTTAATGTGAAATTAATGAATTAAATTATTTTAATTTCGAGTATCGGACTATATGAGAATTTAATTAAATATCTGATTTAGTTTAGTAACATTAAAATTTTATTAATTAGGTCTGAATTAGAGTTGATTAAATTATAAAAATAAAACAAAATAAATAAATAAAGCAAAAATGGAACAAGTGACACATAGTCTAAGATGATGATTAGGCATGCATTGGTGTGGTGAGTCACTTTAAATACGTATGTTGGATAAGCATGAATTGATGGAGAGGTATTTGGATGTGCCACATGTATGAGTGGTGGTTTGGGGCTCACGGATTGACTCCCTATAAATAGGGAGGAGATCCTCAAGGTAAGGAAAAAAAAAAAAAGAAAGGGGAAGAAAATACTTAGAGATAAAGAAGGTTTTTGATAGTGAAAAGAAAGAGCGACATATTAATTTTAAGATGAGTTATATTATATCTTGAGTTATCATAATATATCTTACGTATGTTTTGGGTTAATATAAATTATTTTACACAATCTATGTTTTATAAATTATATTAATATTTTAATTACGTTAATTATTTTTTAAACTCTATTTGCCTAAATTGAAACCTATGGATATGTTTGTTTAACTTTTAAAAATTATTTAATAATGATTTTGTAAACAATTATTTTTTGTAAGTACCAGCACGGGTGTCTCATGTCTTGGGGACTTAAATAACCATTGGCCTCTATTTGGCCACTTTGTGGTCATTTGTTTGTCATGGATCTATTGACCTCTATTTTGATTGTCACTCCAATGACCTCTGTCTTGTTTTATTCTGTTTTGTATCGTGATTATGGTTATTTATTTATATAGTTTTCGTATTTCAGTTTCTGCCACATTGAATAAGTTATTTATTCAAATTAAGTTATGTTAATGTTTTAGCTAAAATAATTATCCATGGTAATTTTTGTACCCTCATGCTCACTGTATAATATTTTTCACTCTGCCATGCGCTTATAGCTGTTAACCACTTTCAGGTGACGTGTCAAAACCGGTACATAGGGTAGGCACAAGGCATTTTGTAGTCATAGTACAGCTTAGGAATTGCAATCGAATAGAAGCTCCAATGTACACATTTTTGTTATACTTAAATGAAAATTTGGGTATCCCTTTATTTTATTCCGCTGCACTATTAATTTGTTATGATTTCAGCTATTATCACGTTGCGACACTGAACCTCCGGATACCGGGTCTGGGTCGTGACATTCGTATAAAAAATTATTGGATATAAAAAATACAAAAAAATAATACATTTTTGTATTTTGTTTGTATTCAATGATTTAAAAAAAAAATATTGCACAAATTATATATTTTTTTAAGTGTCTAGATTAAGTGGAGGTGAAAAATAAAATAAAATAAAAATAAATAAATAAACAAATTTAAGATGCGAAAGTAATCAATAAAAAAAATAAAAAAATACACATTGAAAACTCAAAAAATTATGGCGAATTACACAAACGGTCCCTATAGTTTAGGTCTTGTATCACTTTGATCCTTGACATTTCAATTGTGAGACATTTGACCCTGAATTCTGAATTTTGAATTTTGTTTTAAATAAGAACAATTAAAGATATCATTGCTCAATTTCAAAGGCAAAGCCGTCAATTTGATAAAATATAAACTAATTTGACAAAAATAAATATCAAAAAAATATTTTTAAATTTTTAAAAATTATTTCTACCCACTACAGATAAAATTATGTAAAATTGATAAATCTTTTAGACATTTATGTATTTATTATCAAATTAATTTTTACTTTATGTTTAGATGATGATCGCGTAATGGGTGGTTGTTTTTATTTTCATTAAATTAGTTTATATTTTTCTAAAAGTCAAATATGGCGACAATTTTGATATCATTATTAAATCAATTCATTAAATCAAAAAATTCAAAACTAAAAACATTTCATATATTAAATATATCAATTACACATTAAAAGCTTAACAATCACTCATTACATGATCATCATCCAAACAAATAATAAAAATTAATTTGGTAAATAAATAAATGTCTAAACGATTTATAAATTTTACATAATTTTATTTTTGGTGGATATAAATTATTTTTAAAAATTTAAATATATTTTTGACATTTATTTTTGACAAATTAATTTATATTTTATCAAATTGACTACTTTGTCCTTAAAATTGAACAATAGTATCTTTAATTGTCCTTATTTAAAATAAGATTTAAAATTTAAGATCAAATATATCCCAATCAAAATATAAAAAACCACAATAAGATAAAACCAAAACTATAAAGATGGTTAATGCAATTCGCCATCAATAAAAACTTACTCCAGACACTCACTTCGTTGTTTCTCAACTAATCCCAGAATAATATGCTAGATATCTATAAAAAGATTTATAAAATAGCATTTACATTGAATGTCTCAGGTCTTTTTTGACTTGTTCATTGGGCTTGTATATGGTGTAACTTATTGATTGTGAGTTAAAAACTAAGGATTATAAAGCATAAGCTAAAAACACGCTCCTTTGAGCTTTTAATTAATTAAATTTTTTAATTTAATCCTTTATAAAAGTGTATTTTTTTATCTTTTTATTTTTTTAGGTCATATTATATTTCTATTTTCTAACATATTTTTTAGTAAAAAATCAAAAAATATACTTATTTAGATCATCCCAAACACCCTCTTATTTAAGTTATTTTTACCTAATAAGCAAAAGCCACATAAAATAGTTTGATACAAAATTCCTACATAAATTAAAAAACTATAAACACTTTATATAAGCTGCACCAAACATCTTCCCAATATGGCTTAATATTTATCATATATAGAGTTGACCTTCTTATAATTAATATTTTATCTTAATAACATCTATTAATTGTTAATACTTTGAGAAGCAAACTTTGTATCATGTTGTATAGTTAATAATTCTATTGCTTAATTTTCTTTTATTTTTTGAGAAATCCTCTTACCTATTATGTTTTCATTGATTCATTGAAATAAAATAGATTCTAGTGAATAAGATACTGGCTTAAAGTAGAACAATAGTAAACAATCTATTGTATGTATGGGAGTTTTTTTTTTTTTTTTTTTTTTTTTATAAAAAGATAAAATAGATTAAAAGTCAAAATATCAATAGTTTTATGACCAAATTGAGAAAATCTAAAGGTTAAAGACTAAAGATAGAATTTGAAAATAATTAAGTGGTGAACAGCGTAATGTACTTCTTAATTCTTACTATCATATATTGTGCCTGTTTGGTAAAAATTAACTTCAGCTTATTTCAACTTATGGCTTAAATTAAGCCATTCTGATCTGTTTGGTAAAAATTAAAGTTGCAAATTATAGCTTAAAAAAAGTCATTTTAAGCCATTTTGGCGAAGTTGCTCCGGAGATGCTTCTGATTTCGGATTAAGCGCGCAGCTGTTTGGAGGGCATGAAATGACTTAAATGCCCCTCCAAAACTTCAACAATTACAGTTATGCCACTATATAAGCCCTCTTTCGTCGTGCCCTAGCCCACTCCTCTCCTCACACTCGTCTTCTCATTTCCTCTTGGCGACGAAGACGATCCTTCGTATCTCTCGAAGA